CGAATCGGACAGATAATTGTTCGATTTTTACTTATTCGAACAATTTCTGTCTAAAAAGATCTTTAATTTTATAAATTAAATTATTTAAATTTACCTATAATATATATCACTAAACTTCGGATTATATGCATGGAAAATTTAGGAAATATGTGCATATATATGCACGAATTTTTGCAAAAATATGCAAAAATTTGTACAAATTTGTAAAGAATATGCAGATATATATTTATAAATATTAATTTTTTTATAATATTTCAAATTTTTAGGAACAGATGTCGCAAAATTTATGTAAATATGCAAACTTTATGAAAATATGCAAAGATCGAGTAAATATGCAAAATATGCAAAAATTAATTAACATTAATTAGTTGTAAACATTATAATTTGTCTACATTATAATGCTCTTGTAAAATATGCAAAAAATAACAAATATGCAATTTGCATATAATCCAAAGTCTATATACCACATTAATATGTGTTTTATTATTACTGTAATTGGTCTTAGTTTTGCCAACAAACAAACAAACGTCAGAAAATGACGTCCCGTGGATGTGACATATCGACGTCATTTTCGGATCTCATGAGACCTAACTTAGGATGTCTAATTGGTCATTTTGTGACCAAAATTTACTGTTATTATGACGTCAGTTTGCTACTTGGGTGGATTATTACATGACTGTAACAATCATATAACATTTTAGTAACATGTTATATCCATGTTATATAACTGCAATTTTGTATGAGTGGGAAATTACAACTGATGTGAATGTTACATGTAACAAATACGTTATATTACTTGTTATATTCCGTTTCATTATGGCAATGTTACAGTTATGTATCTGTGTTTGCTAGGACGCCATTTACTTAGTAGATAGAAGAAGTTAAATTACATTTCGGTTAGCAAGTATAGGTCCTTGTACTGTAGTGATGGCATCCTACCCAGAGCGTACGGACTCCCAAAAATACATAAGCCTAACTGTCCGTGCAGAATAATTGCGTCCTCGCTTAATAGCCCATTGTACCATCTTGCTTTTTATTTACACAGAATAATGTTTGACAGTTTCCCTAAAGTTTCTAGTCA